CCAAATGAATAAAATGCTGAAAATTTTCCCTAGGCCGTATGCATGAATGGAAATGAATATTCTTCATTGCAAAATTTTTGAGTTGTTTCTTAATTAAAAGGGATTTGAGAGATGAATAATTTTATTAACTAACATCATTGCCTTTCTTAAATAGTTAAATGAAATGAAATGGTGAGCCTACATTTATCATGCTGATATTATATTGTTCTATGCTAAAGTTCTTTTTGAAATGAATCAAGCCCATCAGGTCAATGAATTTATTTACCCATGAGCTTAAAGAGTTTGGAGCATGAGGGCGGGAGTTCTATTGCCCACCAATCACTTATAAAAGAATTACTCCATTCTCCCGAATTTCCCATGTTTAAAAAAAAAAAAAAAGTTTCTGTAGTGCTCATGTAATTCTGTCTGTTCACATGCAAATTAAATAGCAGAACATGGTAATATGGTCTGTGCTACTTCAAACACAGTTTCATTGGCACCCACATGCACTTATTTTCTGTGTGTGCTCAACTCCTGGAGGATTTATACACAAACATTTTACCACAACATGAATTGTATATGCCAAGGTTTTGCGAGGGGCCAACTATTAATTGCACAAAAAATCCCCAACCATCTCCTTGGAGTTTCAGCTTCTAAAGACATTACCCCGACCGCCGACAATTGGCGTCATATCCAAAATAAATGAAGAAATAAAATTACTAGTACATCTTTGGCTAAACCCTCTATTTACATATTTACACCTAAATTACATTATTTTTTTCACAGTCAACACTCTTTATAATTTTTATTTTCGGTTAACACTTTTTATAGTTTAAAATTGATATAAAATACTAAATTACCAATAAATTGAGGGTATAAATAAAAGATTTTATTATTAATTTTTAAAATTTTTATAAATTTTAAATTATGAAAGTGTTAACTGAAAATAAAATTTTTTGAAGATATTAACCATAAATAAATAATGTACAAAATGTAAATAGAGTGCACTCGCAGTTGGCGCCGTTGGTTTGCAAGAAGGAATTAGTGGACAAACATTTGCTGTTGCATCGGTATTTGCATGTGTTGTATGTATTTCCAAGCCAACTCTTTTTCATTCCTTTTGTGTTAGCTTGTCCTCCTATATTGTTATGCTTACTTGAAATAGTGTTTGGTTTTATTTGTTATCAGAATTGTTTTGTGCAGTACATATTTCACTGAACTGCACAAAACTAATCATTAGATCGGGGCAGACCCTCCCTCATCTGATGGTCCTGTTTAGCTTGTCCTTTATATTTGCTTGCTTACATGAAATAATGCTCAATTTTATTTGTTATGTAGGGTCATGGTTCTTTAAACTTTGTGAATGATCCGGCTTTACTGGCCTTTTCAAATTGTTAAAAAATTTCTCTGCTTAGAACTTGTTTCAAGTAACATGAAATGTTAATTATAACATTAATTTTGCTGCTAGGATTGACACTGTTTTCTTTTTTTTTTGATGATTTCATCATTCTCAGAAGTGATCCTTATTTTCTGATCTTTAAACAACCTGTCTGCTTCAGTAAAATGTAGTGTTCCACTATTCTTTTAGGCGTGATCAGTTTGCCCAATAACTTCAAAAGTCTAGTTTTTGAATAGATAAATGGATAAAATATACAAAATTACTTTCTTTTATCACTACCACAAATATGTAATTGAGGATTTGTAATGGAACAAGGAGAGATAGCTATCAAACATGGAAAAGAGGTTTTGAATTATGGTGTAACTTCCTATTTATATTCAGCATCCCATGCTCCAAGTACCCTAGTTCATCAAGTCTAGTGTCTTTCAAAATTTTACTGTCATTCCCTACCCTTTTTAGAACTAGTGGTTATTACTCCTTGATGTTAATAGAATTTTCTTATTTTTCATACTCGTTTGGTGAGTTTACCCTCTTTTTTTTTTTTGTTATTTTTTTATGCTAGTTCACATTATCAGTTTCTATTTTCTAACCTTCAACTTATAAATAGTCAGAATATATAAATAGGTAGACTGCCTGAATTTATTTTCCAAGCTTTTTGGCAGGTCATGTGCCCTTACTTAAGACTGTCGATGGAGAGAGATTTTTGGAAAATGTAGTAATGAAGTGACTTTTTATAAAGAAAAAGGAAAATTTTATGAAGTCTTAACATTAAAAATGTTATTACATTCAATCATAATTACTAATATATAAGATGTTATTTAATTTATAATTTTATTAAATTTTTCATGGACTATTAAGGTACGTTTTGATTTTTTTTTTTTCTATTTCATGAATTAGGTTTTTTCACATTTATACTTAAAAAAATGTTTTATAAGATAAAATAATTTTATTAAAAATATTTTAATAAATTTATAATCTTAACTATATATATATTTTTTGAATATTTTGACATGGGGCAAGGGAGGAGGAGTACATCTGTTTAATGATTAATGCTATTGAACTTTTAGGGTAAGTGGACATAAATTTAACTATATTTTGAATATACAATTCAGTAAAGTATGAATCCCACTATCTTTTATTATGGAGTCTATCATTTATGGGTGGTAGTTGAGATACTCTCTATTCTGACTTCTGACCTCTTTGGCAAGGTAGGAGTGCATGCGGTGGCTGTTATATATGCAAGCCTCAAGTCAATTCCCCCCAAATAAAGTCAGGATTTGTTTACCTTATAAAAAATAATTATTAATTAATAATTATTTTAAATTAAAAAAATAAATTTTAATTTTAAAACAAATAAATAAAAAAAATAACACATAATATTCATAATTAAAATAAAAATAAATTTTATTATTTTTAAGATAAAAATTAATAATAATTATATAATTATTAATTTTTTATCTTAAAGATACACATAGATAAACACAAAATTGTTTACTTTGTCATGTTATAACTCGGTTTCTTACCGTTGGATAAAGCAATCTTTCCTATGTTTGCAAAATGAACATGGCATTGTGTTTGTAGTGAGAATGGAAAGGAAGCTAAGTAACCGTCAAATACCAATACCAATCAAAGTCCTGGTAAGACCCCACAAAAAATTAATGACCCAGACTTTGAACACCCTCCTCAAATGACCCAAATTCCCAAAAACTCATGCCGGCTGACAACTTTGAAGGCTCACCTCAAATGACCCAGACTCACGCTAAATTTCAACGCCAATTTAATCCAGTCCACAGAAGACCCAATGGTATTCCAAGTCCAAGGAAGACCGACTCTAACACTAATCCATGTCCCACAAAAGACGTTAACCAGTAGTGAATATCCAGTGATGAAGAATTGATCGGAATATTCCAGGCCCTCCCTCATCTGATGGTTCTGTTTAACTTGTCCTTTTATCTTTGCTTGCTTACCTGAAATAATGTTCAATTTTATTTGTTGTGTAGGTTCAGCATGGTTCTTTAGACCTTGGGAATGATCTGGCTTTACTGGCCTTTTCAAATTGTTAAAAAACTTCACTACTTAGAACTTGTTTCCAGTAACATGAAATGTCACAACATTAATTTTGCTGCTAGGTTCGACAATATTATTGATTTCGTCATTCTCTGAAGTGAGCCCTATTTTCTGATCTTTAATCAACCTGTTTGCTTCAGTAAAATGTGTTCCACTGTCCTTTTAGGTGTGATCAGTTTGCCCAAAAATTTCTAAAGTCTAGTTTTTGAATAGATAAATGGATAAAATACACAAAATTGCTTTCTTTTATCACTACCTCAAATATATAATTGAGGATTCGCAATGGAACAGGGAGAGAGAGCTATCAAATATGGAAAAGAGATTTTGATTTATGCTGTAACTTCCTATTTATATCCAGCATCCCCTGTTCCAAGTACCCTAGTTCACCAAGTCTAGTTTCTTTCAAAATTTCACTGTCATTTCCTACCCTTTTTAGAACTAACGGTTATTACTCCTTTATGTTGATAGAATTTTCTTATTTTTCATCCTAGTTTGGTGAGTTTACCCTTTTTTATTTTTATTTTTTATGCTAGTTCACATTATCAGTTTCTATTTTCTAACTTTCAACTTATAAATAGTCAGAATATATAAGTAGGCAAACTGCCTGAATTCATTTTTCAAGCTTTTTCGGCAGGTCATGTGCCCTTAATTAAGATTGTCTAAGGAGAGAGATTAGTTTGGAAAATGTAGTGATGGAGTGACCTTTTATAAAGGAAAAAGTAAAAACCATGACATTCTGTTATTAAAATTATTATTACATTTAATTACACTTATTAATATATAAGAAATTATGTGAGTTATAATTTTATTAAATTTATCATGGGCTATTATTGCATGTTTTAATTTTTCCTTTTGTATTTTATGAATTTGGTTTATTCACATTTACACTTTGAAAAATTGTTTTACAGAATAAATTAATTTTATTAAAAATATTTTAATAAATTTATAAATTATTTTATATTTTTAATAAGCAATTCAGTTGTAAAAGATATAAATCCCTCTCCTCTTTATTATGCAACCTATCATTCATCGGTGGCGGTTGGGATATTCTCTGTTCTGACCTCTTTGGCACGATGGAAGTGCATGCCCTCATGCGTGCAGTGCCTATTATATATGCAAGTCTAAGTCAAATCCCACCCAAATAAGTTGTTTACTTTGTCATGTTATAACTCGTTTTCTGTACCCGTTGGATAAAGCCATCTCGCTGTATTTGCAAAATTAACATAGCTTTGTAGTGAGGAAGGAAAGTAAGCTAAGTAACCGTCAAATACCAATACTAATCAAAGTCCAGGTAAGACCCCACAAAAAATTAATGACCCAGACTTTGAACACCGTCCTCAAATCACCCAAATTTCCAAACCAATGTCGGCTGACGACTTTGAGGAGTCACCTCAAATGACCCAGACTTACGCTAAATTTCAATGCCGATGCTAGTGCAGTCCACAGAAGACCAAATACTATTCCAAGTCCAAGGAAGACCAACTCCAACACTAATCCATCCCACAAAAAACGTTAACCAGTAGTATATATCCATTGACGAAGAATTTCATTGTAATAAACCACCTATGCTGCGAATTATTTCTCATCTTACTCCCCAATGGAAGATATGAGAGCTTCAACAGCAGTGCCAGAGATTGTGAAGATTGTGAGGTTGGTTGTTAAGTTTCATCCGCTATTGATAGTGACCAATCTAATCTTTGGGGTAATATTTCTATATGATTGGATTGAAGAGGAGGTGAGCAATCAATGGAAATTTCTCAAAGTGTATTGCCAATCAACAATGAGAGCTTTGTTGGATCCAATTACTGAGAAGATGAAGAATCTATCAGAAGCCCTCCAAATGCATTTCAATAACGAAGCGGCAAAGGGTCAACTAAAGGCCAAGCTAATTGGTAAACTCACCCTCTTCTTCGCAGCATTTCTTCTATTGGATATAGAGTTAAGTTCAGAATATGATAAAAGAGGGGTTAAAACACAATTATTGTTGCTTGTTGGCCTCGATTTGCTAACACGTTCGAAGCTTTGGAGTGAACTCCGAATTCTTCGTCAAAGCTGCAGCTGTGCCATAAATTCAACATCAAACTTCACCTTGTTTATTCTAGCTCTTCTTTTTCAAAAATTTTATGATAATTCTTTAAGGAGCCTTGGTTTTATGTTGAGCATTGCAATATTTTTTCTATGTCTATTGGTGGTATTACGTCCACGAACAGACCTTGGATTGTTTAGTTTTATCATTGGAGTCATTGGATCCATTACTTACAACCAATACAAGTTCAAGTTTCCAACATGGATAATTGCCTCCATTTGTTTTGTGCTGTTCAGTTTCAAGAGTTGGATGGATAAATACTGGTTGGATTTGGAAGAAGATCACTCTACAAATACCACTGTTGGAAGCACCAGTTTGTTTTCTGTTTTTTCATCATCTGTTGCATCTTATGCAAAAGCCATCTTCGGGTATTCTTTTCTCAAACCTCCCATGTTCAATTATAAAACTTGGTTAATTAAGCCCATTGGGACTATGCTTTGGAGTGTTCAATTCCATATGTTATGTCCCAATCCCAAACATAGCTCACCACCCTCTACAAATAACAAAGGAATCAACAGTTTAATTTTGATAATTGTAAATGTTGCACAAGGGATTTTCGTATTTGCTTTTACCATATTTCCTGTGGCAGATTATAAAGACTGGTTATTTGGATTAATCAGTTATCTTGTTTTGTGTTTTTTGATACAAAGCTTTTTTCCTAAAGATTTGTCACCTCCCTTTACAAATACCAAAGGAATCACAGGCATGATTTGGTCATTGTTATCTATCACCAAATACAGTATTGTGGTGTTGGCTGGTTTGGAACCTCGCATGCAATGCAAAGAATGGGTAATTGTAGTAACCTGTTATGTGCTTTGGTGGGTTCGGTTACATACGTCTTTTCCTAAAGATCTGTTACAATTCACCACATTTGACCTTAAAGCTCCACGATTCTTGGAAATGATGGTATGTTCCACAATTGTAGATGTTATACCTTGGATCCAATTGTTGACAACAACGCATCATCAACAACAAGGATGATAATCTTGCATGCTAAGTGGAAAGTACTTAGATATATGGTAATTTTTATATCAATTCCTATGTCATTTTCTTTTTTAGGTTTATGTTTATTAGATCCAGTATCCTTACTAAAACCCAATGATCATCTGTAATCTTTTAGTCATTTGAGTTTTTGTTAGTTTGAATTTATTGCAACTACCCTTTTGTTATATAGATATCAAATGGCAAGCCTTTATCTTATTTTTGGTACATCTGATAATAATGAGTTATACAAGAAAGGATAGCATTCTCCTTCCCTTAAATCCCTTCCCATTTGACTTAAGATTTGAACTTGAAATCTCCAATTTGAAATCTCAAACTTTTAACTATTGAGTTACCTCCTTAGAAGTACCTTTATCTTATTTTAAGATGAATGGTTTTGTACCATTTAATTCACACATACATACTAATAAATTGGATTATGCACAAATTAACCCACGTCTTCATAGGCAATACTAGTGAGAAATCAAGTGTAGGACCTTTTTTCTTTTAACCTTAACTCTCAGAACTTTTTCTTACGCTATCAATAGATTTATGGTAGGGCTTTTGGTGTTTTTTTTTCTTTTTGACAACCTTGCTCGTAAATCTTTTCATTTCTTATATTATTTCTTATTCTTTTGAGATTTGGTAGGGCTCATACCTAACCCAACCTCCAAATAGTTGTGTCTCTCACTACTGGAAAACGTGGCATTTTTGACAAAAATTACTATCGATAATAGTAGATATTCTGTTGATTACGTTAGAACCGACAAGCATAAGCGACAGAATAAATAATCGAAAAAACAAGTGTCGAAAATTGATATAATCGACAAAGATAATTTCTGTCGATTAAGTTTCAATACCGACAGGTGAAGTTGCTGGTTATGATTATAATCGACAGGAATCGCCTTGACGATTATGTTTTGCAAAAACTATAGATTTTAATCGACAGATATTTTGTTGTCGAAGATACCCATGATCGACAGAAGATTGCTGCCGATTATATGAAAAATCGACAGCTACAGTATGTCAATTATATTTGGCAAAAATTAAGAAATTAATCAACAATTGTGTGATTGTCAAAGTTGTAGATTACCGTCAGTGACTTACTGACGGTTATCCTCATAATTGACAATCGCATAACTGTCGATTATGTTTGAAAAAATTAAAGAACTTCATCGTCAATTAGTTGGCTGTCGAATATGTATATTACCGGCAACTATTTACTGTCAATTATATACATAATCGACAGGCAGTTACTGTCGATTATGTTTGACCAAAATTAAAGAAATTAAGCGATAGTTTGCTGTGGAAACCAGGTATAGTTGACAGTATATGGTTGTCGAATATAGCGACATAAAAAACAAAAAAAATATTGTGAAATTAATTCAATTAAAAATATAAATTACATAACCAAATTTCATCCTTTAAACCATATCCCACAATAATAAATTTAAGAGGAATAAAAACTAAAATATTAAGCAAATTAATTTGCTTAATATTTTAGTTTTTATAATAATATAAAAATGTAATGAAAAGAAAAGTTAACTTTCGAGCAATTTATCTCAAAAAATGAGTTTAATATGCAAAAAGAAAAAAAAATTATTATACGTTATAATACTAAAACAAGATGCATGAGGTTAATGAAAATGATATTAAAACATTAATCACAAATAAAATTAGAATTTACCTCAAAAACATTTTTCTTTGGTGACTTTAATATATAATCTGCAAAAAAACAAAATAATCAAATATATTAATTAGTAGATACTCTCATGCATCTTATTAAAATAATTAAATGATTAATACAAAAGAATAAAGAACAAACCTTAAAACTGATAAAAAATATGAAAAAAGGTGGAGGTGGCAAAAGACTACAACCAACTAAAGAAACTGAGAAAGGTTGCAAGATTTAATAAAGGAAAGTAACCATTTAACTATTGAACCATGCAATTACTATGAGCTAGAAAGGAAGAAGAAGAAAGATAAAGGAAAATGAAAAGTAGAAAGAAAAAGACAGTGAGAAACAAAATTGGGGCGCCATGTTTGAGAATGAATTGAAAAAGGAAGGGAAACATAGGAGAAGCTTTGACAAGAAGTGACATGAGGCAACTTGGGACAGGGTATATAAACAAGTATATTCGATAAAACTTATGACGGTTATAGTATTTTAAATTCCCGCACAAACAAATTTGGTAGACATTTTGGGCGGACTCCATTATAACCAACCGAAATTTAAAGGCTGTCGGTTATGTAATATAACAGACATTCATATTGGCAATTATATTTATAGAACTGACATCCTATTGGCAGTCGGTTATATTGATACAATCGACAACCTATTAGAAGTTGGTTATATGTTAACCCCCTTGCCTTGCTAGTTGATTTCTCGAACCTAACCAGCATAGACCTCATGCAAACATGACCAGTGGGAGAAATTGATTTCTCAAACCCTTCACCTACATCAGCCTCAAACACCAAGGCAATAAACTAGATTATTGGCCAACACAATCCTATATAAATTGATAGTAATGTGCCATTAATGTCTAATATTTTTAATGAATATTATATATTGATTAATATAAACTAAAATATTATACATTTAAAATTAATTAAACCATCATATATACAATATGACATCCTTAGAAGGCTTAATACAACATTCATGATGAGTCAAAAGTAGCTAAACTACCTTTTTCCTCTTAAATATGGGCATCCAAACCACCTATATCAACATAAGACTCTAGTGGAGTCTTTCAACCTTCAATTCCCTTCTTTTAGATCCACTTCTTCTTGCAAAATCCCAACAAACAGAGAGAACTTAAAAGAGAAATAAACAATATCGAGCATAAATATCTATTAAAATAAATATAATGCAATGAAATCAACAAATCTTAAATTTGACAAAGAAATCCTATGGTTTAATGGAAAACTATAAACAATGTTATCTTTCCATGTTTCCTAAATACCAAATTGATTCTAATTCTCCACCTACAATTGCCAGAGTCACCAAGATTAATTCAATTTCAGTTTGAAAAGATTAATTAATTCTCTTCTACATCTTACCTAAGTAGGTGGTGATAAATGATCAAATCTGGACCCACTAGTCTCTGAAGGACCACCAGCCTGTGTAGGACCACCAACCTGTGGAGGAACAACAGTCTGTGATGGCGGAAGTCCTATAGATGCATACTGCTAGCTAAGTAATGCAATATGCTCTTGAATTCTCCTATCAAACGCAGCCTTCATTTCTGAAACTCTCTGTGATACCTCTGACTGAATACATGCAGTCTCTGATTGTACTCGCTCTGCCATTTCTTGCTTAACTTGTGTGAGTTCAGTTTGCAACTGATGGACCTGCATCGTAAGCATGTTGGTGGTAGAGGACGAGGCCTCACTAAGCTCATATCATCGCCACCGTATGCCATGCTCTGCTGGGTCCTGAAGTGTGGACAACCCTCTTATCTAACCCTTTTTATGGGGTCCGACCACATCCTTCCAAATTTATGGATCCTACCCTGGCCATACTCCTTGTTTGGCCCATGCTTTCCCACATACTTTTGGTGAGCAACATTTTATTTCAAATATAAATTTTCATTAGTTAGAATAATTTAAATTGTGTTCATATTAATTATAATAAATATCATTAAGGAATTTGATGGGAATTCCTAGGATAGCATTGGAGCAGGAGGCTTTACTTTCTAGGATGGGAAAATGGGAAGAAGGGGTATGGCAATGGGAGTGGAAATGGAGAATAAAGCTGTTTGCCTAGGAAGATTGCTTGTTGCAGGAAATGGTAACTGAAATCCAAAATGCAAGTCTAAAACAAGGAACATAGGACATATGGGCATGGAAGGATAACAAACATGGGCAATATACAGTGGAATCAGCATACCACTTGCTGAACTCAAGACAACAAATACATCAACATAAAAGATACAAGCTTCTATGGAACAAAGATGTACCTTTGAAGGTTGTGGTGCTAGCATGGAAAATTATCCAAAATCGTCTTCCAACAAAGGACAACTTACTCAAAAGGAACTTAATAGCAGACCTAGAGGAATTGTTGTGCTTGCTATGTGAATAGGATGCAAAAAGCTTAAATCATATGTTGTTTTCATGTAAGAGCTCATGGAAAATATGGACTGCATGCTATAAATGGTGGGGCATCATGACAGCTACACAAGAGGGAGGATGGGAACACTTTATGCAACATGCAGGACTAGTTTCTAATGGCAAATTACGAACAGCATGGAATATATTCTAGTTCACCATCATATGGTCAATTTGGTTATGGAGAAATTAGAAGGTTTTCAAAGAAGGAAAAGGCACAACAAGCACAGTGATAGCATTGATCAAGTCTAGGTCTTTTACATGGATAAAGGCGAAGTTAAAACCTAAGAGACATCATGATACTTGGTGCACCTTCCCTAAGCAAGCTTTATCATGAGGGGAAGTGTGAGCAAATTAGCTGACATTCGTATTGTGGAGATTGTTTTGCTTTGAATCAGTAATATTATTATAAGAGGTGATATTGTATTTGTAATGGGTAGGGGTACCCCTTGTACTCTGATTATAAATTAATACAAAATAAAATAAAATATTACCGATAAAAAAAAATCAAGGAATTTGATACTTACATATGTCTGCTCAGCTTCTAGACACATCCAAACCGGTGATGCCTCTTCTTGACCTTCAGGCCTACGAGTTGTGTGAGCAAACAGGTAGGTCTCCAACTGTGATGGCCTAACTCCCCCTCGCTTTGCTGCCTGTTCAAAATTAAAATATTATAAAAATTAAAAATTTTTAACATTCAGCATTATATATAAAAAGGCCACATAATACTAACCAACCGATCTTCATGTATCCCCATTAAAATGCATCCAGTAGTGTGAGTCACACGAGGACCTTTTGCTCGGTTTAGTCGACCCCTCTCTTGCAGCACCATATATTGTGGGCTCTGCCACTTTGCTAGCAATATTTTGAAGGTTTCTCTATGCATGAACTAAGGTAATTTTTTGCTCTTTTCCCATTTCTTTTGAACCAGATATAGGTCATCTTGAAAACAGTTCCGGCAGTGCTTTCTCCAAATTCTGCGTACACGAGCATCATCTTCCTCCCAACAATGTCTTCTGCAATATTAAAATTAATTAAATTAATTGATAATGTATTTGATTTTCTAAAAAAAGGGGCAGAATTTCCCTTAAAATATCAACTTTCTCCCTATTAATCATAAAGAAAACAAACATTTAAAATATCAAGAATTCTGATACTATGATTTATCCAAACTCAAGTAATTTTAAATATAAATAAAAAAGAATTTGTGATTTTTGGGAGATTAGTTGATGGTTGAGTAAGAAGAGTCAAGAATTCTGAAGGCTAGGGTTCAGTTGAACCCAGGCCTTTTATTTTAAATTCATCATGAAAGTGAAACCACGTCATTTGGCCAATTTTCCTCTCAGCCCTTCAGGGTTCAAGCTTTTTCATAGTATGGTCCACTAACTTCCAATATTATTATTCAACCCCTGCCATTCACAACTTCACATTTTAGTTCCACACAATTAAGTCCAATCATTTAATTAATCTAAAAGTTTTTGGAAACTTTTATAAGATATCCGGTTAAAATTGGGTTATGACACATTGCTATTATGAAATACATGTACTACATCATTATATTTATAAATAATTTTATGAACAATATTATTCTAATATAAATCACTGACATTCATAAAAAAAAATATATAGATCACTTATGAAAATTGCTATGTGTGTTAGTAATGTATAGCAAATCAGCACCTATTTGATTAATGGGAAAAAAAAAGTTGCCATCAATGACCAACATGTTACACAAAGGAAAATGTTTAGAAAAGAGAAAAATGTCAAATATTGTTCCAGTAGAATACAAATCTCATGTAATCTGTTAGGATACACAACAACTCAACAAGCCCAGCGGATTTTATGCTAATATACAATAACTCAACACATTAATATCAACACCTTTAAAGCACACAAAATAATTAATACTAATTTTTTATAAAAAAAATCAACACATTTATATCACGATCACTCATACCAAATTCTAGGCAGTAACATCACAATAATCAAGATCTCAACTATTTTAAACTCATCCATATAAATATGGTTTAAGTATTATTTTGGTCCCTCAACTTTTCACTTTGGTACCAAAATTGTCCCTCAACTTTAAAAAATATTAAAATTATCCTCAAACTTTCATTTTTGGTATCGAAATAGTCCTTCCATGAGTTAAATGATAGGTGGCACGTTAAAATGCCAGCAAATCTTTTTTTTTTTTTTTTAAATACTGATGTAGAAAAGATAACACACGAAAATTGATGAGATGACACTTTATTTTGTTTACGTGGCATTTTTAATTTTAAACAAATAAATAAAAACCATTTATTATTAATTAATTAAAATCATTTTCAAAATTAACCTTCTTCTTCCTTATTCTCCCCTTCCTCTTCACTCTTCCCCAACATTTCTTCTCTTTCTCCATCTCTTTCGACTCCTCTTCCCTTTCCAAATTCTGGTTTCCACTCTCTGAGGTAATCGGTTTTTGATTCCTCCTTGATCGTTTATGAGTTGGATTTCTCAACTCAATCTCACTCTCTCGACCTAGAACAATATACCCAGAATCTGGTGCGAAGGAGAACCCAGGATCTGCAAATCTGAAACTTTTCTTGGGATTCTCCCTCAACCCATAAACCAAAGCTTTCTCTTCCAGAACTTCCCTGCTCTTGCTTTACTACTCTTGCTCCTGCTCCTGCTCTTGCTTCTCCATGGAAGAAGACGACAAAGGAGAAGCAGAGTCATCATCACCATC